AATATAGTATCTTACAAACACAATATGCATTCTATACAGCATCAATATAGTATCTTACAAACACAATATGCATTCTATACAGCATCAATATAGTATCTTACAAACACAATATGCATTCTATACAACATCAATATGGTATCTTACAAACAAATATGCATTCTATACAGCATCAATATAGTATCTTACAAACACAATACGAAATTTAGAAGCGTTTACTGTCGGATTACCGAAATTTAAGCTATGTTCAAATAAAATTTCCACAATATCTAACAAACAGGATGATGAAATCTTGCAAGTAAAATTAAAGCAATGAAGAGGATATAAGCTAACAATGGAGAGCATAACACAAAGACATCTCAGTATCTGTACCATGGACAATGATATTATTGCACCTACACAATAAGCAATGTCAAAAGGCAGCCATACCTCCATGATAATTCAGATGAAGTTTATAATACTCCCGAATCCTTATGTATATGTAAGGAAAAATCCGAAACAGTTTAGTTTTTACTACCGAATAGACAATACAGCCTCTTCGTATATCCGCCACCACTGGACAGCAAACAAGGATATTCTTTCAACTCGCTAAATACATTTCCCGTAGCATATCCCCAATTCAACGACCTATCAATTAACCGATAGTCAAATTATTATCGAAGGCAACGACGAGGAATTTATTAGTTGATCATATTGCTCCTTATTGTGCAACTTATTTAACATTGTTTACCAATTCATCGCATAATATATACATATGTATTTTACACCCTTTTTGTTGTTGGCTAGTAATATTGTGCAAGAACAATAGTACATCCCGAATAAATCTATATCGCTGAAAAACCAATTCAACAGAATTGTTTTCCCGACATTTACAAGAATTGTGATATTTTGCTGGATTTTTTTTTGTTACATTTTCTTGACATTTTCCATCCTCCTTCTGATTTCATAATTGATAAGTGATATCATTGGAAGTGCTATTCTGCTTTCAAAATATGGTATCAATACATCCTATGCAACAAGTGTTTACAAAAATTGTCATATTTTGTTGAATTTCGTCTGGACATGTGACATTTTCCATTCTTCTTCTAATTTCATAATTGACAAGTGGTATCACTTCAAATAAACAAATGTCGTTTTGTGCACACTGATAATGTCGCGAATTCCTTTACTGTCAGCTTTTTATTACATAAGAGTTTCTTGTAACATTTGTCTGTCTTAGAAGTATCACTCTCAAGTCTATAAATCATGTCGAAAAGTTGAAAAGATGGAAAAAAAATTATAGACACTGCAGTGATATTGGTCCCTGGCTTCATTAAGTAATCAAAAGTACAACAGAATTACTATGAAGGTGCTTATCATAGCAGTTTTACTGATATGCATTGTAGCTGCTGTACACAAAGTAAGTTAACAAGTTAAAAGTTCTTTCATCATGTGAGCTGAAACTATTTTCTTAATATTTTTCTAACTTGTCTTATAGGTTCATCTTGAAATATCTGTTTGTTCATCTCACACCAATTGATTTTCGCAACATTTGCAGACCCAATTGATGAAAATTGAAAGCAGACGGAAAAGATTTTTTAAAAAAGGTTTATGGTCGAAACATCTTAAGAAGAAGAATCATTTTCGAGCCACTCGATCACGAACAAAAATAGATGAAAGAGTAAGCGAATCAATCTTCTGAGATAATCATTTGCATTTTTCAAATGAATTATCAATAACTCTTCTCAAATGATTTAAATGCTCTGATCTTCCCAAGTTCATCAATTTCGTTGATTGTTCTACTGTTTCTCCCTCATAGCATCATGATGATTTTGTATGTAGATAAGTAGAAAAGTAATCAATCTGAAAAGTGAATAGTATGAAATCTTTCAACCGTTCTTCTGAAAACCATAACGGACATTTCTGTGTTGCTTCATGTCTCTGATGATTTGATCATTCCATTAGATGTACAAGTTATTGATAGTAGAGATTAGCACTAATGAGTCCAATATCTTGCTAGTAATTCTCAAAGGATTAGTTCCTTTATCTTCCATTAAATGTACATTACTATAAACTCTGAACTGTGGTCGCTAGCCTATAA